TATCTTTGGTTTTGGCAAGTTTGATTTTAATATGTCTTGGTGACTTTCTTTTGGGATCTACCTTATGTGGGGTTCGATGAGCATCTTGGATAGAGATCTTGTCATTTTTCATGATATCAGGGAAGTTCTCTGCCAACAAATCTTCAACAATTCTCTCTGTATTTTATCCCCACCCTCCCATTCTGGTACTCCAATCACTCGTAGGTTATTCCTCTTGACAGAGTCCCACATAATTCTTTGGGTTTCTTCATTTTTTTAAATCCTTTAATCTGATTTTTCCTCCAATAAGTTGGTATCAAGTGCTTTATCTTCAGTCTCACTCATTCTGACTTCCATTGCCTCAATTCTGCTCCTATGACTTTCTATTGAGTTGTCTTAATTCTGAAATTTTATTGTTAATCTTCTGGATTTCTGATTGGTGTCTCTCTGTGGATTCTTGCAGCCTGTTTAATTTGTCAGTATGCTCTTCTCTAATCTCTTTAATTTCCTCTATTGCGTATTCTGTGTTTTGCTTAATTTCCTTCCTAATTTCTTGAAGAGTTCTGTATATTTATCTTTTGTATTCTGCCGCTGGTAATTCCAAGAAATTTTCCTCCCCTGGAAAATTTCTAGGTTCTTTATTTTGGGAGCTTGCTGAAGCCATCATGGATTGCCTTTTTATGTGATTTGATATTGACTGTTGTCTCCGAGCCATCAATAAGTTATTATATTTATTTTATGTTTGCTTACTGTATCCTAGCTTCTTGTTTTGTTTTGATATGCCCATATAGGCTGCTCGTATGAGCTAGTTTGGTTATTGGCACCTTTGAAGCTCTAATATCCTGTCACCAGGCAGTTAGATCTGTTACTAGGTGTGTGAGCTCAGGAGTCCGCCCAGTCCTCCTGTATGGATTCTGCTCAGCTGCCCAGGTAGATAGCCACCGATTGTGTGGTGTAGGCTTTCACGGTCCTAGACAGGCATGGGTAATTGGTGTAGGCGCAGGCTTCTGGCTGCAGCAGGGGGACACACTCTGAGCAAGGCAGGGGACTGATGGCTACCCCCGAGTGTCCAGGAGGAAGGTGTGTCCCTGTTCCCTAGAGCGCGTAGGTGTGTGGGTTTTGCAGCCAGACTATGAGCACCTAATGCTGTTGGCTGAAAGGACTGGGGGCACCTCTTATTCACGTGCCGCTATTGCAGGTGGCTAGGTGGCGTGGGTGGAGCCACCAGTCCTCAGGCCCCTGATGTGGGTAGGTGAAGACCCTGCTCAATGGGCAGAGCAGTGTCAAATGTCAAGAATCTGCCACTTCATAGCTGAAACAGTTGAAGTTTAGACTTCTGGTATTTACCCTGTTGTACTGCGGTATGAGGGCCTATGCTGTTGAGAGGGGCCCACACAAGTCTATGCAGGGGGAAAGGCACTCAAAGTCCGTGGATCGCTTATGCCTGTGCCTAGGCAAAGGAGCTGTGCCTACCCTGGGTTCCCGACTTAGGGGAGCCGGCAGTTTATTTTTTCCTCTGTTTGTTAATTTGTTCACTCTCCAAGGTAGGGAGAATGGCTCCGGATGTGTGATGGATCCTCCTTCCGGCCCAGAGGACTCGGCAATTGCTGAAGCCAGTCCGGGACCCAGTGCAGAGCAGGGAGGTGAATGGGAGAGATTTTTCCCTAAGGGGTGTGTTTGTGATCCTCTCGATAGGCAGTACACAATTACTTATCTTTTGCCGATCCAGGGCTGCTTCTCACTGGTTCTGGGTGGCCATGTAGACTCTCTGGTGCTGGGTCTCTCCTGATGTGGAAAACACGCCTCTCGAGTACCACCGCTTGCCTGCCTCACCGCTCACCCCCAAGCTGATCAGGCCTGAAGGGCTCAGGCTCTCACTGGGTCACGTCTGGCAACTCCTCACTGCTTCCGAACTGTCTCTCCCTCCCCTTGCCACTCAGTCCTGTTCTCAACTCTGCCTTTGATGTTCAGGGCTCCCAGATTGCCATATATAATTAATTCACTTGTTTTTTTGGGTCTTTGTTGTAAGAGGGTCCACCGGAAGTGTCTTACTACTCCACCATCTTGGCCCCACCTCAAAAGATTGTTTTTTTCTGTGTGTAAACTTTTTCTTTTTTATAATAGTGAATATCATACAATATTTGTCCTTTTGTGATTGGCTTATTTCACTCAAGATAATGTCCTCCAAATTTATCCATGTCATGAGATGTTTCACAAATTCATCGTTATTCTTTATCATTGCATAGCATTCCATTGTGTATATGTACCACAGTTTATTTATCCAATTCATCCGTGTTGGGCACTTAGGTTGTTTCCATCTGTTTCCTGTTGTGAGTAGTGCTGCAGTGAACATGGGTGTGCATATGTCTGTTTGTGTGATGGCTCTTATTTCTCTAGGATATGTTCCTAGGAGTGAGATTGCTAGATGATATGGTATTTTCATTTCTAGCTTTTTAAGGAAGCACCGTACCGTTTTCCATAGTGGTTGTACCGTTTTACATTCCCACCAGCGGTGTATGAGAGTTCTGGTCTCCCCACAGCTTCACCAGCATTTGTTGTTTTCTTTTTTTTTTGATTAGTGCCGTTGATGTCAGGGTGAGATGGTATCTCATTGTAGTTTTAATTTGCATCTCTCTAATGGCAAGCATTTCTTCATGTGTTTGTTAGCTGCCTGAATGTCTTCTTTGAAGTGTCTGTTCATGCCCTTTGCCCATTTTTCAATGGGATTGTTTGTCTTTTTGTTGTTGAGGTGTTAAAATTTTCTATAAATTTTAGAGCTTAACCCCTTGTCGGATATGTCACAGCCAAAAATTTTTTCCTAGTCTGTAGGTTCTCCTTTTCACTCTTTTGGATAATTCTTTCGATGAGTATAAGTGTTTAATTTTTAGGAGGTTCCATTCATCTAGTTTATCTTCTGCTGTTTGTGCATCTTTAGTTATTGTTGGTATACTATTTATACCATTTATTAGGGCCCTAGGATTGTCCCAGGAGCCCTGGTGGCACACTGGTTAAGAGCGCAGCTGCTTACCAAAAGGTTGGCAGTTCAAATCCACCAGCTACTCCTTGGAAACCCTATAGGGCAGGTCTCTGTCTGTAGGGTCGCTGTAAGTCAGAATTGACTCAACAGCAGTGGGTTTGGTTTTTTGGTTTTAAGGTTGTCCGTATTTTTTCTTCCATGATCTTTATAGTCATAGGTTTTGTATTTAGGTCTTCGATCCATTTTGACTTAGTGTTTGTGTATGGTGTAAGGTATGGGTCCTGTTTCATTTTTCTACAGATAGATATCCAGTTTTGTTAAAGAGACTGTGTCTTCCCCCATTTAATGGACTTTGGCTCTTTGTCGAAGATCAGCTGTCCATAGGTGGATGGATTTACTTCTGGGTTCTCAGTTCTGTTCCATTGTTCTATGTGTCTGTCGTACCAATATCACGCTGTTTTGACTACCAGGCCTGTGTAGTAGATTCTGACATCAGGAAGCGTGAGGCTTCCTACTTTGTTCTTCTCCGGTAATGCTTTACTTATCCCTGGCTTCTTTCCTTTCTGTATAAAGTTAGTTTTTCCATCTCATTAAAGAATGCCGTTGGACCCAGTAAAACCATGAGAGTAACGAGGTACAGGAGTCCAGTGACAAGGCCCAGAAGGCAGAAGGGGAGTAGGAAGCTGATGATAGGGA